TGCTATAGTGGTCATTGACAATAAAACTGGTTCTCCACTTTCTTTGTAAAAAAAAATGGGCTGGAATAGTAATTAAGAATGTGAACTTATCACATTAATAATAGAAATACTGTACATCCATTATAGGGTGAGTAGACATGCATGTCCTGAGGTCAGCACATCCTTTAATATCATAGAGAGCTCCAACTTAGCAAATGTATTTAAATACAAAGGAGAATGGAGAGAGATACATTGGTCACAACTTCCTCATAACAGCATCAGGTGACCCATAATACTGACTCCAACTATGTCAGCAAATAGCTTTTAGTTGGGGGGATACATTCTATTGCATTTAGTTGCATTTAATCAACCATAAAACACTCTGTAACAAAGTTGGCAACCCTGGCAACTATTTTCTGGAACAGTCATGCATCTTAATGTGACATTGTTACCAAATGTCCTATTCAGAAAAGTCCCTTCTTGGGTCCCTTATTGAACATATATTCAGTGCTGTTGGCTTTCTTGTCACAATGACATGTTTGCCTGGCTCCTGAATCAGATATCCGTAGAGACTGCTTACTTGTACAGTCTAATATAAGCAATTGCTCTGTGACAGAATCAGGCCAAAGAATACAACAACACACCTTCCATCAGTATTTTAATTACCAGCCAATGTTTTAATAACTATCTGAAGTACAGATTGGAATACATAATATTCACCTAAGTCCACCTCACTCACTGGTAGCTCAGAATTTTAATACAGCTATAATTGATTAGACTCAGTATGTAGGACATGCAACCTTGCACACTCTATAGCCAACCTCAGGCAATGCCAAGTTGCCTTTTTTGAGATACCATAGTTTTATTTTAAGATGAAAATTATTTAGCTTTATTTTATTAAGTAATATTCCATTAATATCAGAAAGAGTGGCAGGGCAAAGCCATGGACAGTCACGTTGTGCAATCACAAAATTTTTTCTTAACTGCGCTTCAGCTTTTAAAATTACAATATAGCATGAAATATCTTACAAAGTTTGATAAAATAGCATATATATGTTTTAAAAATAGCATCTATCATTATAGCCACATGAGTCTTTATTCACTGATGCTGTCAGCCGACTCTGTTTCTGTGCAAAGATCTTCTACTGCACCCCATTTTTTACCCCCATCAATCTAATATGTTCCATGTATGCAAAAAGTTATATTTTGAAAATACGGAAAATGTGTACATATTTATGTGTTTTTTGTTAGCAGATGTAAGGCAAAAGATGATGAACTGCAGTTACTTGAACAAATGGGTTAACTTTATTTGTTAATGTCTCTTTTTATAATTTCAGATAATCACAGTCAGTTTATTTGCTGTGTGACAATTTTAATGATAGTAAGCCACTCTAGTAATATTCTTCTTTTTTCTATTATGAGTTCAGTTACCAGCATCCTTTACTGTCCCCGGGTTGCATCTCTCCATCAACTTCTGTAGCCCTGGCCTTCTTTGTAGCTCAGTAAAAGTGAGCTCCCTAACTCCCTCACACATCAACTCCTTATTTCGCTATCTGATAAACCGACAGACACCACCATTTAACTTCTCCGAAGAAAAGCAATGGGGCTGCATATGCCTTCTCTATCTGTCTACCACACTCTCTTATTCTTGTCCCTGCTGATCTGTTCTAAGATATCTGGTTCTAGGGTTGCTGATCATACTAAAATACATGCAAAGTATTTTAAATTAGTTCAAAATAACAATATATAATTTTCAAAAAAATATAGACAAAACATGTTAATAAAGGAATCATGAAATAACAGCCTAATGCTAAAAAAAATTAATAAAATAATTTAATAAAAATAACATAAAATTAACAATGAATTATTCGTGCATATACTGTAGGCAATATTATATGTAACTCTTTCACATTCTAATGTTAGTCTGCCTTAGCCACACATGCCGGTTTAGCCAGTTTAGATGCAGTTTAGTTAAATTTGCAATATGTTCTATGGGATCAAGCTGGGGCTTTGCTTTTTTTCAATCCACTTACAGCCCTAAACTTTGTGGGGAAATCAAATCTGAGGTTTGGGTGAAGTTGACTAAATTGTGGTATGCTGAGCCCATGCCTCTGAAAGTTCTCTTTGTTTTGAATCTAGTATCTTCATGGCCCTCCCATTGTGTTATTTCCTGTTTGTTTAGTGCCTGTATCTAGAAGGCTCTTACACATTATGTGTTTGGATGCATTAATACATGTTAATGTTGTATGGATTCGCATTGGGGCATACAGAGAAAGCCTTTGCAAACTGCATTTATATAAATAATAAATATCCAGAAAAATATCACCATAGTTCATGGGCATGAACAATTTAAAGATGTGCTTTTAAACATGCTTTAGATAAATTTGATAAATACAATAAAACACTAAAGTATTTCAAATTCATGCAGGCCCTTAAAAGTAGCTAAATTAAATTGTATATATGCAAGCATGAAAGTCTCTCGCCCAGATCATATGGTCAGAACCACTGAAAAAGGTAAAAATGAGGCCATAACACAGCCATAATCAAAGATTTAAAGCAACTCCTGGTAAATGAATGCATAAATATACCACTTTAAAACATATTTTATACTATTAATGTAACCTAAATGAATATACTACTATTCCACTAATAATTACATTATTTTCCAGCCAAAACTCTTTTCTTGAGCTTTGATATTTGTGAGGAAGGTTTAGATTCTGTGTTATGTGTATATTGGAGTGATTTCTAGTTTCATCCCTGGAACCCCGAGATGTTATTAGATTTTCACTGAATGCATAGCAATAATACTTTTTTTTATTTAATTATAAGGGCTTATTCATGCTTATTGCCATAAAGGAACATGTATTTATGCTTATGCACATAAATGTGTGCAAACATTCAAAGTCTCTTATAAACTTGTTGTGAAATCTGAAAAAATACATGATATCTGTTTTCAATAATCATGAAATAAGGAGATGTGATAGAAAAGGAAAATATGCCAGCAGCAGTAAACAGGGATCTTAATCATGCTAGAGATAGTGACAGAATAACACACAACAAGGTATCTTGTTCTGTCACAATTCTTCATCAGTATTACTGAGTTACATTACAATGCAATTCTTAAATCAACTTTGTGAAATGCTGAATAGCAATACAAAGTGGATAAAGGAAATGAGAATAAAGTAAAATGCAATGGCCAATGGTGACATACTACTGTGCTTTGTGCTCTGTTTGCTCTATTTTCCAAATGATGAGCTATCAAGGAGTACTTTCAAATGGAAGTTTTGAATCCTTCTCTTTCTTTCACTCTCAATTAAAATGCTCTTTCTTCCTCAAACTGGCCAAAAGGCAACCCCTAGTGTGATGTAGTTCCTATTAACATGGAAACACTACTTAAAACCCTTTGGTCATGAGAGTTTTATGTACAAATAGGGCATACGCTTCTATAAAATAGTCATCAGAGAACACAACTACTGGTTTGCTGTGGTAATAGATTTAGTGTGCTATTCCCTGCAGTACCACTAGGGGTGCACACTGGGTGATATTGACATATACAGCCCACTGCAGTAGGTTCTGCTATTGGGAACAGTAAATATGTTTCCATAGCAGTTTTCAGGAACACTTCTCATGTGGGCACCATATCCTGCCTATACAGGCATGCAAGCTGTGTATACCTGTGTATGTGTGTGCTGTGCTATCCTAAATGAACAAATCTGAACAAACCACAAACACAAACAATATATAACTATAACTAACGTGTCTAACAAACAACAATCTCATTAAAAAAAGGAATTCCATTCACAACCCCAGTGTATAAATGTTTATGTATACCTCAATACAAAAATCAGTCCAAATAGAAAAAGCCATAAATAATTCAGAGTAATTTTATCACCAGATGATGACCACTGCATAAACATCCAATAAAGTGCTGCTCACCTTGGGCTCAGACCCGGACAATAGGTCTGAACAACACTGTTTCCCCATTTGTTGTAGTGACTGGAAGGGATCTACCCTAAATGGAGTCCACTGGTTATAATCCTCCTATCCAACCACACATGTGTTTCCAGGATGCCAGAGGCTGTATTATCTCAGTCCAAAAAAAGAAATACAGGCCATAGCATACACCGTAAAAAAACACATAAAATCTTTATTTAAAATGCTACTCACACAAAAGCTTAAATGTAACACAGAAAACTGTTGTGATACAGGTCGGGAAGGAACGCCACCAAATAAGCTAAACCAGCTCCATTTTTCACCTGAGTGCTTTATCCACCTTTCTCCTGAACCGAAGGGGTCCTGGGGCCGAGGCTAGCCAAAGGATCGGCCGAAGCTAAGGCCAGATCCTTTGGCAGCTTTTTGAATAGACACCTCTGTGTCACAAGCTCTGCCCTACATGTGTTACATCCAGATCGACTTCTTCAGGGGCACAGAGCTTGGGAAGCATAGACTGCTATACATACATCCTATTGGACCACATGTTACCTATTAACCCTTTTATTAACCCTTACAAATTAATAGCCCTAGATTGTATAACAGATACATGTAGACATGTACATACAATGTACATAAAAAAAGATAAAATACAAGCACTTGGTCAAAGGCACAGGCCCACAAGGAGACATTCCTTCTTTTAAATGTGTAAGTGATGTGCAAACGTTTGTTGCTATATAAATCCTGTATAATATTAATAATTACAGAGCAGTGTTGAATACGGTTTGTTATAATTAAATCAATGTGTCTTCCTTATCTTGTGTCCTGTAAATAACACATCCATTTTGTTAAAGTAAAATACAGAAGTCTGAACAGGTTATATATTTTAGAGGGTGCCAAACATGGCTACAAAATCAAATATTGTATTACATATTTAGATAGTCATTATGTGATATATTTATATGCCTGGCTTTTTTGTCATATAAAGTACCCTTTGTGTACTATAGTTTATAAACAGTTCCTAATTAACCTTTTGCCTGTATACAGGTAGACAACTATTTTTAAAGATTAAAATAAAGTGCAAAATTAAAAATATTATTTTCTGTACAGGACGGCATGGGCAATTTAAGAGTTACCAAGAAAGGAATAAGGCTTGAAGGTGTTTCTGAATTTCTTCTTCCGTTATACGTGAAGGAAATACACTCCAGAAAGGTAGGTTGCAAATGTTTTGTACTATTTGTATATCATGTAAAATGGTGCAAATCTCAATATGTCAACACCCATTACTGGTCCTAAATGTGTGACAGTTAGTGGCAAAATGTCTGCCAAATACACTGACAGATGCAGATGCTTTAAGTAGAGGCTGGATGGAGTATGTAGGTTATCTGCTAAAGCTACAGACCACTAGCTTTGAAACCTGGATAATAGTTGTTTACCATTGTAATCAACATATTTGGTCCATTCATAATTAATATTAATGTTAGTAAGAATACTGTTATACTACCACCATGTAATTTATGACTCAAGTGCTGTTGCAGTTCCTCTATAATTCTAACACACTTTTTCTAAATGAAAAGTCCTAGTGTGTCTTTTTAATTTCTAGCTGAACAGATGAGCTTGGATTTTTTACAGATGCATGAAGAGTGCTTGGACAAACTGGGTTTTAATTGTCGTAGTGTTGATTCAACTGTATTACCAGTTCTAAGTGAAATAAATCAACTTCTATATAAGGAGGCTGGGCATTGTGCATGAATTTTTCCTCACTGGGTACTGCCACAGATGTCAGGGCTGGTCACAACAGCAACCTCTGCAACTCTTGATAGCATGTTGCTAAATCTTTGTTTGGGCTAGATAGCTGTTGATAATAGGTTCTGATTTGCTTTAATTCCCCCATACAAGTAAACGTGAATGCATGGCATGTGATACACACAAGGCAAATGCATAATACCTCTTAGAAGTTAATTGCAATAATGAGGTCCTGAACTGTGGCAGCTGTGGCCAAAAAAGGCAAGCAGAGAACAAAGGACTAGTCGCCACTATTGCCTATAGGCTCTGTGCAGCTGATCATTTCCCCATTACTGGCTTACCATGCTTTTTTCTACACTGTGCCTCTGTGTGTAGGTGGCCATCTTGGTAGAAGCAGAGTTTTGTTTGTTAATTTCAGAGCTGCCCATCATATCACTGATAGTATAACACAGGGTGGGGATTATCATGTCACAAAAAACTGCGTAGAGAGTACAGGTCAACAGAATGAATGAAGCAGTTTCCTCTCCAGCAGGGAGAGTGTGAAGCACAGTATGAAGCATGGTAGTACTATCTCTAGATCTAAATCCAAGTCTTATAAGTGGGGTTTAGGTTCTGGCATATGCAGGATTTGACAATTCTTCAAAGGGAAGGGAGTGTGAGGCAAGTGGATGGCAGCATACCCCTAATAGCATTATAGAGACAAAAAAGGGAAATTGGCTACCAAGTTGCCAGGGGCTTTTTAGGTGCCGCAAAAAGTACAATCACCAAAATACTGATAAAAAACGTATTTATTTATAACAAAGCTAAAACATAGTTTTAAAAAATACATTGTGGCCATCATAAACAATTAACACATAACAGATTTGGAGTGAACAGCCATATACTTATCTATAACCAGTATTCACACATTTGAACTGATAATAGGTTCTCATTAGGTTTGAGGCGTTTCGCAGAGAGTAGCTTCTTCAGAAACCTTTCATGGAAGTTCCAGGCTGCTATGCGTTCAAAGTCAAATACAACCGTGGGCTCCAGGCAAGGGAAGAGGGCTAGAGCTGGAAAAACAAAAGCAACTCTGTGGGGGCTTTCCAGGGAGACCAAGGGTGGGCTCGATGCATGCCACGGTCAGACCGCATCACTGAAATCCAAAAAGCTTTGTTATAAATAAATACATTTTTTATCTGTATTGTGATTTTTTTTTTGTACTTTTTTGTGGCACCTAAAAAGCTCCTGGCTCCTTTGTAGCCATTTCCCCTTTTTCGTCTTTATATGCAGGATTTGGCCTGAACTTTGCATGTTCAATGTTTTGGTATGTTTGAGCATGTTCTCAGAAATGCCAAAATAAATTCCCCAGAATGACTTGTGGTGCACTGTAAACTGTGGTCAGGTGCAATACTGTGGCCAGTAATGAGTTGTTAACAATGTACCACCCCTCTAAGAAGGTCAGATCTCCTATTGTCAGTGTGTGTTGGAGTTAGTAGTGAGGGACAGCTGACAGTGACTGCAGGAAGAGACAGTCAGTGCTCCTGTTCTCTGCTGTGTACATTGCTATATACAGTGCTATATTAATTGCTATATATTGCCATTGATAGATTACAACTAATTGAAATGTTGTGGGCTACAGATAGTGAGTGTAACCACTGTGGATAGACCAAACATTCCTTTTTAGGACTAACTTTTGTGTGTGTCAGCAAGGAATTCTGTTGCTGTGTTGCTACTGCTCTCCATTTTGTTGGGTTATTTTGTGGTGTTTTTGTGTCTTTTTCCCACTTTTTTTGTTGTGTTTCAGTGCTGGTGCACACCTGGGCGATCCATGACTTTGTGGCAATCGTGCATGATACCGCGCGTATTGTGGCTTGGTCACGGAGTCACCCATCATCTACAATCGCGCTGTGGGTGCCATTATTTTCTAATGGCACCCCAGTTGCGCCGGTCAGATTATGCGGTTTCCCGCCATGCTTCCGCATCCAAACACGATCGCAGCTAAAACAGCAACGTGTCGTGTATTGCAAAAAAAGGTACATGTACCTTTTTTTGCTATTGCCACACGGATGTACCCCATTGAAATCAATGGGGCCGCACAGCAAACACTGTCTGCAATTGTGCACGACCGCGCAATAACGGGATACATGGACCATTTTGTCACCACTTGGAAGAGGTAACCAGAATGGTGAGCTGTGACCAGGTGGGGATCAGTGACACTGTCCCTGTAGTGTTCCTGTTAGAGCACACACTACATGGTATAATAGACTGGGCAATGGAGGCACAGCAGCAGGAGGAAGAGGAGGACTTCTTGGTCTCTCAGGCCCCATTTATCCTGACTATGCTGAAACGGCATATGGCACATGGGGCAGGCTTGCGGGGAAAAATTCAACCCTTCCCAAACCCTGGTAGCTGTATGTGGGTGGGAGGATAGTTCATGACAACACTTTCCTCAGTAACCCTGAGGATTTGGTGTTTCTCCAAAAATGTGTGGCAGATGGACTCATGGCTGCAGTGCATTCCATTTGGTAACAAATATAAAGAAAAACAGTTAATCCCTTGTGGCTTAATTCTAGGGTTAAAAGACATAACAATGTGAATAGATAGTCTTTAAAAATGTAAGCAGGATTGGTCATCATTGGCATTTCTGTGCTACAAGGAAAGTAACAAAAAAATGCAAGACTGCAATCAGGACTGGCCAGCTAAAATTACAAAAAACAGATTGCTACAGAAAGTGAAAAAAACCCCCAAATAAATGATTTATATATAAAAAAATAAAAAGGTAAGAAAAGAACACGTAGGCCCTTTAATGGATGAATAGAGAGATTGATTACAAGTGACAGGGAGAAAGCAGATGTGCAAAATACATTCTATTCAGTTTATACAGACAGAAAATAAGGTTTTAATACACAAACAGTAATACAAATAGCAATGTACTGAGGGTTCCTTGGTGGCTGTCATAAATCCAGGTTAAAAAAAAGACTAGAAAAACTTAATGTGAACAAATCTCCAGGAGCAGATGTCTTACACCCATGGATCCATGAAAAACCTGGAAAACCCTGCCCTTTTAGGCCTGCACCTCCCAGGCCCTTTGTAGAATGGCTAAGCTGGTGGTCTTCTCTTTGAATGGCAGACCAGAGGCTGTGCTAAGGCCAGGCACTGTCTGTGGATTAGAAGCAATAGCTACAATGAGGCTGAAACTTAACTCTGACTGTTCTGCTCCACTAATGCTGTGAGTTCTGCTGGAATTCATAGTCCCTCCCTGTCATAGGTTACTGTGGTCTGCTGAGTCTTATTGTTCCTCCCTGCCATATACTGCTAAAGTCTGCTGGGATCTGTTGTTCCCCCTTGCCATGTGCTGCTGAGGTCTGCTGGGATCTGTTGTTTTACCCTCACTGGACTTACCCATATTGTGCCTTGTGACCCCTGCTGGATTACCTCTAGCTGCATCTCTGATTCCTGGATTACTACCACTGATTATCTGGACTGAGTCCTTCATGTGCCCCATTGCCTGCCTTCTGGATTTACCCTCTTATTGTAATGCAACACCCAGGACATAACCCTGGCCTCAACACCTTGTTTTGTATACCAGAATTCCCCAATAAACACCCCACAGGTCGGGTCCCTTGTGATTTTCCTCTGTGTACTCTCTCAGCACTCCTTGTTCTTTACAATACAAAATGATTTATGGGGAAATACATGGCAGATGAAGTTCAATATTGAAAAATTTACTTGGAAGCTAAAATAATAATTCTAGATACTTATTAGGTGGTGCTCCTCCAGGGAAATCAGGGTTTGAGAAAGATATGGGGGTCCTGGTAGACCACAGACTGAACAATAGTATGCAATGCCAAGCTGCAGCTAACAAAGTCAGCAGACTACTATCATGTATTTTTAAAAAAAATTGTATTTTAACAAGAGCTAAAACTGTAATTTTACCACTTTACAAGACACTGGTTTGCAATGTACAAATATACAAATATATCAATGGTGACTGCAATATCAGGAATAAATGGTTTAATCTAGGGTCGTTGAAGAAGACGCATGGCTACAACATGAAGTTGAATGAGAAGCAGTTTAATCTTAAACTGCATAGGGGTTTTTCTTTTGACTGTCAGATCAGTAAATATTTCCTTCCATAGTTAGTGGTATCAGCTGAGCATGTAGGTGGGTTAAAAACAAACATTTAGGTGATTTCGGGGCCCGCGCCCCTGCTGCACCCCCGGTTGTTACGCCACTGAATGGTTAATTTGTATGCATCGCATGGCCTGAACCATAAGATATTTGATTATATGGGTTCAAGGGCGAATGTTAGAATAGAGGACCCCTTGAATATTGGGTTATGAGGATGGCCAAAGCTTGCTAAATGTGCAATTAGTGCAGCAAGGGGTTTTGTGACAGAAAAGAGTCTGCCTTTCCCCAGAAACATTTGAGTGGCTCACTATAAAAATGAACTAGCCCTGAATCAGCAATGAGTACCAATCTCC